TTTTTCGCTATACAAAAATGCCGTTTCCCATAGGAATGCATTGAAAACCAGTTAGTCAGTTCCGGAGGGCAGAAAAAAGTAAACGCTACTAAAATACTGCTCGGGTTTTTATAAAGTCATGTGGTATTTTAGTAGAGACAACCATGTGTTAATGTTTCAGTTGTCAGCAGGGTTCACCACTGACCGCTGAATGTAAAAGAATTGCCAGCAATTTAAAAACATAATTTTAAAAAATGGTGTGGGGTCCCACCTCCCATCCATATTAAGTCCTTTGGGTCTGGTATGGATTTTGAGGGGAACTCCCGCACCAAAATTTAAAAAAAAAAAAATGGCGTGGGGGTCCCCCACAAGATCCATACCAGACCCTTATACGTGCATGCAGGTAAGGAAGGAGGGGGAAGACTAGCAAGCCCCCAGATCCCACCCCCTCATGTGAATGAGTATTGGGTACATGGTCCTGCTACTCATTCACAAAAAACAAAAAGTGTAGTATGAAAAAAGACAGGTCTTTGACAAATCCTTTTATTAAAAGAAAAAAATAAAAGCATGTCCCTTGCAGTAGATCCAAGGTCAATCACGCTGTCCACTGCCGACCCGAAAAGAATACATTGCTAACAAAGGCTCTGCTTCCGACGATGGCCCTTGGCCATCTGCCTGCTCCGTTGGTTTGACAGTTCTTAAATATGTAAGGGGTGGGGCCACTCGGGGACATCGCCCCAGTGACTCTGCCCCATGTGACATCATTGATGCCACATGGGGTGGGGTCACATGCGTTATGTCCCCGGGTGGCACCGCCCCTCACCTATTTAAGAACTGCAGGCAGAGGACTGGCAGCCATCGTCGGGAACGGAACCTTTCCCCCCCCCCCCCCTTTTTTCGGGGCGGCGGACATCATGATTGACATTGGATCTACTGCGGGGGATATTCTTTTCATTTATCTACTGCGGGGGACATTCTTTTCATTTATCTACTGCGGGGGACATTCTTTTCATTTTTTATTCTAACAAAGGACTTGTCAAAGGCCGTGTGTATGTGTGTGTGTTTTTTTTTTTTTTTTTTTTTTTTAACACTACACTTTTTTTGTTTTTTGTGGATGAGTATCGGGACCATGAACCTCATACACATTCACATGGGGAGGGAAGGTGCTGGTTTTTAAATGTAATTACCGCTCTTTTTTTTTCCTTCACTATAGCTCAGAAATTCAGCTGTCGCTTCCCCCCAGCTAAAGGAGAGCGTTTTCTTTTAGTTTATTTTCCCCAAGTTAAAAGAAAAGTTTCTTAAAAGAAACAGTTTCCTTTAACTCCGGGGAATGTGACAGCTAATTCTGTGAGCTGTAGTGAAGAAAAAAAAAGCTGGCAATTGCATTTAAAAATCAGCACCGACATACACTTTGTATTGCGAAAAAAATTTGTAAAAATTCGTAAACCGAGACATTATTTTTCAATGGCTTTTCATTCGTAAACAGAAAATTGTTAACCGAGGCATTCGTAAACCGAGGTACCACTGTATATATTAAAGTGGTTGTAAAGGTAAAACACATATTATTTACCTTCTAATGCATTCCCTGCATTACGTTTAAAAAAAAAAAAAAAAAAAAAAAAAAAAAAAAATTTTACAATTTTGTTGTCCTCCCCCACTTCCCTAAATGCTAGTCCTCAATCGATCCAGCATTGTGCCCGCTGCTTCTCTTCTCTCCTCTATCCTTCTACTTAGAGGACTGAAGCCGCAGTGGGAGCCATTATCTCCTGCTGCTCTCAGTCAAATCCTGTGAGGTGGAAAAGAGGGCAGGCCAAGTTGTTCTGTGTTGTCTATGGATGTACATGGCCCAGCCCAGGAATGAGCCCAGATATTTGCCCCATAGCAAGTGTCTTGCAATGGTGGCAGACAGAGAAGAGGAGAAGCCAAGATCACTAGTGGCGAACCCCACAAGAGCAGGCGCGATGCCTCTCTGTGCAATGCCGTTCCACATAAAATAAAAACATGTTTACTTATTTCTAAGTTAAATGGAAAAAAAAAAAATGTAAGTGATGGATTTTAGGGCAGGTTTTTGTGAGTGCAGATGGAGAGTCTCTTGATCTTTCATGTTTCTAAATTTGATGAGAAAAATGGATAATTTTTTTCGTTAAATGTCGATCGCGGACGTATAAAACTGTTTCCTTAAAGAGCTAGTGTTTTAAATAAATGGTAAGGCCGAAGCATGTTAAAAATAACAGAACCTTAATCACACATCAACAAGATGCACACAGAATAACTAAGTTTGAAACAACACACTCACACTATATTGCCAAAAGTATTGGGACGCCTGCCTTCAGGGTTCAATATTAAGTTGGCCCACCCTTCAACTCTTCTGGGAAGGCTGTCCACAAGGTTTAGGCGTGTCTATGGAAATGTTTGGCCATTCTTCCAGAAGCGCATTTGTGAGATCAGGCACTGATGTCGGACAAGAAGTCCTGGCTCTCAGTCCCGTTCTAATTCATCCCAAAGGTGTTTTTTATCAGGTTGAGGTCAGGACTCAGAATAGTCAAGTTCCTCCATCCCAAACTCTCTCATCCATGTCTTCATAGACCTTGCTTTGTGCACTGGTGCACAGTCATCTTGGAACAGGAAGGGGCCATCCACAAAGTTGGGAGCATGAAATTGTCTAAAATGTCTTGGTATGCTGACTCCTTAAGAGTTCCCTTTACTGGAACTCAGGGGCTAAGCCCAACCCCTGAAAAACAACCCCACACCATAATTCAAACTTTACACTTGGCACAATGTAGTCAGGCAAGTATCGTTCTCCTGGCAGCCGCCAAACCCAGACACGTCCATTGGATTGCCTGACAGAGAAGTGTGATTCCTCACTCCAGAGGACACGTCTCCACCGCTGTAGAGTCCAGTGCACCACTGCATCCAATGCTTTGCATTTCACTTGGTGATGTAAGGCTTGGATGCAGCTGCTTGCCCATGGAAATCCATTCCATGAAACTCTATGCAGTGTTGTGCTACTCTGCAGCAGTCATTTAGGTAAAGACCTTTACCAAATGTCGTGCGGACTTCAGACAGTTGGTGACTTCTGCCCACTGTGTGCTTCAGCATGTGTTGACCCCGCTCTGTTATAATATCACAAAGTGGTAGGCCACGTAAAATAACTGATGGATGTATTGGACAAGTGATGACCTATCATTGTACCATGCTTGAATTCACTGAGCTCCTGAGAGCAACCCATTCTATTACAAATGTTTTTGTAGAAGCAGTCTGCATGCCTAGGTGCTTGATTTAATACACCTGTGGCCATGGAGGTGATTGGAACACCTGAATCCAGTGATTTGGAGAGTTGTCCCAGTAGTTTTGGCAATAGTTTTGGCATGTGTGTGTGTGTGTCTGTCACACACAGGGCTCGACAAATCCCAGGTCGCCATTTGCGACTAGAAATTGCATCCTGGTGCCTGGGCTTTTTTCAGCCCAATTCACTGTTGGCACCAGGCATGAGCATAGCGTACCAGAGCGCAGGAGTCCGCAAATGATTGGCCACGACACGCCAAGTCCCTTCTCCTTCAGCATTATTGGCTCCATTTATTGCCGTGTTTGTTTTTTGCTTTCTTTCTTCTCATAAGCAAGGCCTGCCCCTGTAGTCCTAGCTCTGATTGGACATGCCGCAGGATTCTCTCCTGAAACTGGCCTCCGCAGCTGTCAGTCAGGTGACTGGGCTACCTGCGTCTCTGGTTGCCTCTGCTTTTGGATTGGCAGGCTGTGACTGGTCCAGACGGCAGGGTCTCGAAGCCCTGTCTGTGGATTGTTTTGGCTGACCTTTGTCGTCTTCATCGCTGGTGGTGGTGGTTGTGTTTTTCCAGGCCTGGGACATGGAGCTGTGTGAGACGCGCGATCCCAGGAAGAGAAACGTGTGTCAGGAGGATGGTGTGGCCGGTGTAGCTTGGTGTCAGCTCCAGTCAGCGCTCACCTGATATCAGCAACCCACCCCACTTTAAGACCAACTGTTGATCTTTAAGGGGGGTTTGCTTATATAAGTTGTGTTCCCCACACCTCCAACAAGCTAAACATTTTAAAAGTTCAGCGCAACTTCCCTCTTATAATTATATTAACCGCTTCCTATTCACCCACAGTACATTTACTGTGTGCAGGTAGCACGAGCAGGCTGGATAACGGATAATGTACATCTTCCAGGCTGTTCCGGGTTAGGGGCGAACATGTGCAATCACAGCACAGTTGCCTGCGATTACAAACGTGATATTTTGTTAGTTTAAAAAAAAAAATGTCTCTTTGCTTTTTTTAGCTGGCTCATAAATTCAAAGCATATTTGTCTTTTTAACATGGCAGTCTTTGACCTGCTGAAACATCAGATCGATAAAATATAAGCTGTAGGCAGGAATTCCCATGTGAAAGCTTTTTCATGTGCCTACTACGGACCATTGGTTTATATCTGATAAAATAGAGGGTCTCCTGTCTGTATCTGAGCTGGTTTAGAGACCCGATACACTGACAAAAGAAACCAGAAGTGCTGGTGATTGGTGAATGTGAAGAGCCGGAGGAAGAGGGTGGTTGGAGCACCAAGCTGTTGTGCAGAGAAAAGAGCAGGGAGTATGGAGGTGGCTGGTGGGGTAGACAGAGTAGAGATGGCCAGGTGTTTGGGAGATTTGTAGGAGTGGTGGGGAGTGTATCATAGAGCCCTAGCTTGTTAAAAAGAGCTGTATGTCTGAATTTTAGTAAATTATAGCTTTTAATTTATAAAGAGTAAGAAGTATTTTCTTCTTTTAATGCTCCTACCATATTTCTGCAGCACTGTGCTGCCCTCTGCAGGCTCTGACCATAATGTAAACTGCAACACTGATTGTAAAAGCTATTGTCTGCTTAACTTGTGAATGTTGTGCCCTTGTTATCATGCCTCACCCTGAATTTCTGCCCAGTACTTGATTATCATTTTGTTATTAACTAGCGTCTTAGTCATTCTTTCTGCACCAGTAATATTTTGATTGGCTTAAACATTTCCCACTGTTCTGCAGCATTGGAGAGAGGACTGCTAAAAACGTTGCAAAAGCTTGATGAGTACCTGAATTCACCACTACCCGATGAAATCGATGAGAACAGTATGGAGGACATTACCGTCTCTAGCCGTAAGTTCTTAGATGGTGAGGAAATGACCTTGGCTGACTGCAACCTCTTGCCAAAGCTTCACATAGTAAAGGTATGAGGAAAAAAAAATTGATGAAAGCTCAGTAATGCATAGAAGTCTCAGTGTATTTGTTTTTGACCTTTTTGTTTTTCTTCTCGCCTTCTTTTGTAGGTGGTGACCAAAAAGTACAGGAACTTCGACATCCCAAAATCTATGACCGGGATTTGGAGATACCTGACAAATGCATACAGCAAAGACGAATTCACCAACACCTGTCCGGAGGATAGAGAGATAGAAATTGCGTATGCAGATGTAGCCAAAAGGCTCACAAAGTGAACTGTATTTTAAAAACCAGACGAGGCCTTAATTTACAACACATACTTGTAGGGCAGAATTCCCATTTTTTTTTTTTTTTTTTTTTTTTTTTTTTTTTCCCCTCCCAAAAATACATTGTTTATTCCATAAATTTAATCCCATAAAAAAATGAGGCACATGTTAAGCCCATAATGTTCTCGTATAAAGTTATTGCTTTGGAATTCATATATTGGGTCACATAAGTTAAACATGGTTGTTGAATACAGTGTTAGAATAATTTAAATAAAATATTTTTATTTTTTTTTAACTTCATGTAAAATATTGATGACCTGATAAGGCTTCAGTGTTTTTACATTTGTTTTCTTCCTTTTGGATTTTGTTTTTTCCGTCCAGGGTGACATACTGTGCCATAAGTTACTTCTTACGATCAACGGTTCTTCATGATGTGCCATGCTCTGTATTGCAGACATTGTTATGGTACATAAAGAGGTAACCCCAATAATAGGAAAGCATTAGTTTAACTTTAGCCATAATTTCCCTACCTTTTGTAGTTGGGGCATGCTTGCTATTTTTCAGCCAGAGCTTTTGCTGTCCAGTATGATTTGCCTGATTATCTGCAAAGTGTAATGACTCTTAGGTTTTCACAGATGCTTTTTCTGCTTGTCTGGTGAAGAGAAGAGTAATTTGTGGTTCTTAATTTGACAGCTGTTGCTGGGAACCAGTTCTTTCTCAGTTGGGTATTCTTCAGAGAAGGCTAAGCAGCTGCTCAAAAGATTGTTTCTGTGCCACACAGGCAGCAAAAGGCTAAAGAATCTCATGTAAATGTGGAAAAGAAGTATGAAATGCCCCGATCCTATTAGATACAGTATGTATTATTTTAGTTTTGGGAGAGAACCTTTTTGTTTGAAAAGGCTATGGGCATAAAACTTCTTGGATGAAATACTGTTACATGACACTTATCCTAAGGGAACTATCCTTTAAGATTTTGAGCAAAACAGCCCTATTATTGCAATATCTCCAGCTCATATTTATACACATGCAGGCTTGTATTCTATGAGTATACATTAATTGATGACAAGGATACACCAACTTCTTACATTAAGCGCAAGAAGCAAAATAAAAAAAAAAAAAAAAAAAAAAAAAACTCCTAGCAAACAATGATAACTTGCACATACTGACAATCATGGATCTAGTTTAGAAGTAAACGCATTGGGGGAGATTTACTAAATGAGTATAAGCTGTTGATCAACAAATGTTTGCTACCACAAAACCTTGGATTGTGGTGTCAAATTAAGTGGATATGCAGTGCAGACACTAAGATGGTTTCTTAGTTGTTAAAGTTGAAAATTAACATTTTGAAAATGGTGTCAAAAATGGTTCCTATTTGACCTTTTAAAAAAAAAGCCTCATAGTTTTTCTTTTCCACATATCAACTTGTAGCAGTGCACAAAATAATCTTTCACTGCTATTTGTGTTATCCATGAACCAATCCCATGCCTTCCATTTTAAATGTAAATGTACAGACAAAACTTTTTTTTTTCTTTTAAATAGATTAAAGAAAGGTTAGAATCTCTCAGGTCTTTAGCCATGTCCCCGCTGTGGATATTCATGCTCTTTGTTCTGGTGAACATTGTCACTGATATAAAAAAGGCTCATTCATACCAGCCTACTCTGTAAAATGCATGCAAGCTGGTGTCCACTCTAAGGCCCGGTGTTTTACATTGTTACAACCCAACTCTGTTATCTCCCTATATTTGTTGCAGAAACACTTCATTCAAAACTGTGCACCTCAGTGTGTTGCAAGGTAATCGATTTATGCTGCATACCCAACTCAGTGCGGCATTGTGGTGAGAACAGGGCACATAGAACACAGGTATTTTTCCTGTGTGCCCTTGCATACGGAGATAGTATGAACGACCCCAAAGTAATGGAAAATCCCAAATTTGTAAATAGTCACAGCAACAAAGGAGAATGGAAATATTTCAATGGGGAAGCCTGTTCTGATGACAACAGTCTAAGAGTGGATATTGCCCTAGTTTTCAGAGATTTCCTTTTTCTTTCTCTTAGACAGGAATTAAAGGGAAATCTCTCCTGAGGCATGGGCAGAAAAAAAACAGATCTCAACCATTTCCTACTCTATCGCAAACTTAAAAAAAAAAAAATACATTTTGCCTTTACATACACTTTGATCATATGGGACTTGTTACGGAGTTCTACAACAGTGTTTGTCTCTAGTGCCAGAACTGTCCATCTAAATGGTAATGGAATTTGTATAGTAACACTTTTTTTTTTTTTTTTTTTTAAGCTTATGCAGGACAATGCATAGCTCTCTATTGTAATTTGTTGCCATTACATTGGACATGCTTTAAGAAATGGAAAGTCTTCCACATTGTAGTTTTTAACTTGTAGATTTACAGTATCCTTTAGAAATCTTTGTTTTCTACCATGAGCATTACTCGGAGTAAAATGTAACATCATATCAAATGCAGTTTAGTCAGGCAAATTCTAAAAATGAACGCCAAGGTTTGGCTTTTGTTTCTACTCAGTTATATAGTAATGACTACCACCAATAACAATATTTCCATTCACCATTATGTAAATTAACAGCAGCATACACTATTAATTCCATTGAGGAGCTTTTTTTGAATGTTATAGTTTACCCGTTTTTGCACATTGTTTGCTAACATCTAATGAATAATTCCTCCTTTTATAGCTATGGTCATATCATTGTACCTAAAAGGCATGTCAACTGATGAACTCCCCTTTTTAATATAGGTATTGATATATTATCACCAGAAAACCATTTCTAAAGCTTCTTGGCTGTCACCAGTTGTACCCGTTCTTGTGCTAACTTTTCCCATTTATATCAGACCATCTGTACATTACGAGGAATCCCCATTATCTTTAGCGATTCCAAAGGCATTTTTAGGATATTGCCTTAAAGTGGCCTTCACTCTGGTACTTAAAAGTCTGACTTCAATTGAACTGATGATATTGTTACCAGTATGTTACACTATTGTTCTTTCAAGTTACATTGAAACTTCTGTTTTATGTCATTTTAACAATTAACACTTATAATAATGTTTGATAAAGCACTGTTTTCTAACCAATGTACATTTTTATGGTATAGTTAAAAAAAAAAAATATGAACAGAGACAATAATCACTTGTACATAGACGGAGTATTTTTTTCTACCTTTTTTTTTATTTCAGAAATTTTATTTTACAGAAACCTTTCCTAATTTTAATTTGTTGTGTCACATTTAATACAAAGTTACTGTTCTTGCAACTACTTTGAGGTTGCAGGCCAGATTTAGAAAAAAGTATTCTGTTTGTTTTAAAGAGTTTTCCAGACTTAACTTAAAATGCAGCTTGGAGCAGGCAAGGGATTTTATGGTACAGTTGGTTAGAACTGAAAATTGGGAACACTTCAAAGCTATGGAGGTGTCCCTTTTTTTAAAGTCATTGGCGATTTGAAAAAAAAAAACAATCAGACAATTAAATTGTCATTTATTACTATGGCTGAGCTGTGATACAAGTCAGCACCTGTATCAGCTCCAGTTCCTAGTCAATTGCTAGCTATACATTAGCCAGTTGTAAACCACCAGCTTGCAATTGCATAAATGATCAAATGTATTAAGGAAGCTTACAACCAAAATAAGACAATCTAAATTGTTGCAGGTAGGTCACCATGATGATTTTTGTGGTTGATATTGGTGTAAAGCTATTAAATAACATCCCAAGTACTGGTCCATTTTTTATTTACTCTGGAAAATCTCTCAATCAATGTTCAAACCTGTTGTACTTATTGCTGGAAAGCCACAAGCTCCTTATTGATTGATTTGATATACACATATAGCATATTTTTTTTAATTCTGCATTCAGCAAGGCAGCAGAAGACATTAACTGCATGAAGGTGGCTGATCCAAGAATTTAAGAGTTACAATGTGTGGAAATTGCTATACACTGCAGATGGCACAGTTTAACCCCTGTCATATCTTCATCACCTACATTTCACAGTGCTTCCTGAGGGGTTATATTTTGTGAAAAAAGTAGCTTTTCCCCAGGTCAGCAATCATATATTAATACTTTTTTTTTCTTTTCATAACCAACAACCCAAAGTAGGTTTGATATGTACAAAAAAAAAAAACTGTAAACACATTGCTTACATTTTTATGTATGGCTGAATAATAAAGTTGTTTGTTTTGTTTCTAATTTTTCATGTGTGCGTCTCTTCAGAGCTTTGTTCATTTTCTATATATGCCCATGTAGATACTGGAGATAAATCTGTACCATGCACTTTGTTTTGGTTTTCTCTATCGTTTGTAGACATTCCAGGGAATTAACTAAACTCCCTGTGCCATTATACTGGGACAGGAAACTCTCAGAAGTAGCATCCGCAACCTTAACTAAATAGAGACTTTGTTTTCAATTCTATGTGCACCAGTTTTTATTTCAGAGTGAAACAGAAACTAGCACAGGGTGTGCACCCAGTTAACAGAGGGAATGCAGCAGTTTTCTATATGTTATGGACTTGCATGAGGAGAGAAGCAGTTTTGATGTGGACACATAACCAAAAGGATCAGTTTCAGTTCACCCTTTGTCCTAAGGGTAGAACCTCCTACTTAACACTTATTTTGAATGATTTCAGCAAGGGTAACCCTGTTATGAATGAACTTTCTCAATATACTGAATATAAGCAGATCATTTCTGTAATTAAGTTAGCTAAAAACTATAGTTTTACTAAGGTTGCTGTCCTGCTTTTTTTTTTTTTTTGTTGTTTTTTTTTTCTTCTGTCCTACTGGAGCTATGAATTAATGTTGCAATAAAATGCTCAAATTTTTTTTTTTTTTTTTTTTAGAGTAAGTTCAAAGTTTTGCAATTGAGTGTGTGGGTTTTTTTTTTTTCCTTCCTACCCTTTTTTCTTGTAATTCCCCACTTGTATTGTCATACTGTCACATGCTTCCAGATGGAGAGACCAAGCAGCTGTGCAAACACACATGGAAGTGGTGGAAAGAGGCT